AAATATTTTCATTTCAGCTAATTTAAGTGAGTTTCAAATTCAATCATTTTAATACAATTTTAGCTAAAATTTACTCGAGATTCTTTAAAATAAAGTTTCAAATAATAGTCAAAGATTTCAACTAACTTTTGTTTTTTTAACAAAATTTTAATAAAAATACAGAAAAAAGGAAATGCATTGATTTTAGAGGACAACACACTTTAAAATATATGTAAATAAACATATAGAATGTAATTATATTTGTAAAGTCAAATTCTTGTTTAAATCTAATAAATAAAGTTCATTTCTAATATGTTTTAACCAAGATTTTTTAGGTCTACCTCTACCTTTCTTAACATAAGTCAAACCTAATACCTCTTCTTTCTTAACGGGGTCATCGGAAGGCCCCAGTTTTATGTGATCAAATCATCTAAGGTGACTCTCTCTAATCTTATCTTTTACTGGAGTTACTCTAACCTTTTCACGTATATGATCATTTTGTATCCTATCAAGGGTAAAGCCACTCATCCACTTGAGCATCCTCATCTCTGCAACACTTAACTTAGTATTATATTTCTATTTTAATGGCCAACTTTCAGCACCATGAAGCATTATAGGTCTCACTACCATCTTATAGAATTTTCACATAAGTTTGAGGGGGACTTTTCTATCACACAACAAGCCTAATGCATTCCTCTAGTACTTCAACCATCCAACTTGAATTATGTTGATAATATCCCCATATATTTCACCATCACTCTAAACAATAGATCCAAGATATCTAAAATGTGTTGTATTTTTAAAAATGGAGATTCAAAATATCATCTACCTCAATATACACAATTTTTAAAATTGAGCCGATAGTTAAAAATGGATTGAACTTGCTCGAAGAAAGCTTTCTGTCTCTAAAAATCTTTCTATATCTCTTTCTAGTTGGTTGCTTGAAGTGAGGAATGGGTGGAGTGAAAAGTAGAAAAAAATATCATTTAAATTAAGAATTAATACCTAGCATAAATTATAGCAACACAGTGCTCCCTTTGGGAACCTACAATGTCATAACATCGAATTAGTGCCACTGTGCCTATTCAATTGTATTAAATTCCAAAGATCTAAGAGTCGGGGCTCTGCCAACACTAGTGTTGCGGTGCCGCAAGGAAAATTCTAGATTTTCAAAATATATAAACCAAACCCTAAATTTTTTTCTTAAAAACACATGTGCACTCTCGCATGCATACAAAATAATCCCAAACACATGTAGAAACATTTAAATATTAAAATTAATAAATTATCTTAAATTGGGTCGAGTTAAAACCAACTGAACTAAATACTGACTAGATGTGCTATAACTCTCCCCTCATTATAAAAATATTATTCTTGATATTTTAAAACTCAGAGCATATAAACATATCAGGATACAATTATTTCATCTTTTATTTCTTCGCATAAGTAGCCTCTCTTTAGTTCTATTTTTTCTCTAAACTTTAATCATTATAATCTATTTATTTCTCAACTTTTTAACATCATAAACTAAAATCATCTCCGGTAGTTCCCTATTGCTCATATTTAAATGTATCTCAACTTCATCAGCAAATATTCTATTTTCATAATCTGATATCCATTTTCTTAAAAGTGATATATAGAATACAGTATGAATGAAGTATGTTTTGTTAACTATACCTTGTAGGAAGATTTCTCAATACTTTCAATAACTTCAAAACATTCAACATATCTTAGACTCAACTTTCCTTATTCGACAAATTTATTGATGCCCTCATCGACCTAACTTTTCCTAAAAAAAATTTCCTACCTGAAATTCCACTACCTGTTGCATAGCATCAAAATATTTCTTATTCAAGTTATATATAACATTTAATCTATCCCTGATCAAATAAATCATTTCAATGGCATCGTCAACCACATATGGCCCAAATAGATTTCTCTTGCTCACCTCTATCCAAGATAAATGTGATGCCCCAAAATTTAAAATAAAAGAATTATTATTTTTTAATCTTTTAATAAATAACAACCAAAGCTATCAAATATAATCTATCAGTAATAAACAGTACAACATATTCAATAATTTAAAACATCAACATACACAACTATTTTAAATCCCAAAAATTATATACAATATTCAGGATCTACACACAATTAAATCATAGCTAGTTTGTCTTGAGTACGAAAATAGCTAACATAAAAAAGAAGCTAAATCTAAAGATTCCTGACCAATCTCACACTCATACTCCCCTGCCCTAACCTAAAATCAATTAACCACGTTATCAAAACCTATAACTAAAATCAAAGCATGGCAAAGGAGCAATATACATATCAGCGGTCATATCATAGCAGTTATATTCATATAATCATTGAATCAGTGTAGAAAAAATAAAACTACATGCAGTAATAATAAAATTTGTAAGCAATAAAATACTATGATATAGAAATTAGTAAAGTGGTAAACCAATATGGGAATCAGATCTATGAAGAAATTATTATATCCGTATAGAAATAAAATAAAACATCAAATTTGAATATCAATAAAAACTGTCAAAATCATGTCAATATAGTAAAATCATATAAGAGTTTATACATGCTATCTAGTTATTCTATGTCAAGTGCTCAGTATATCAAATGTATAATATCAGTATAGTGAATCAGTAATATCCAATAATATCAATATCTATATCAGTAACGGTAACAATCCAATAGTAGGAGCAGTAGAATAATACAATATTAATAAATCCATACAATAATAAGAATAATGCCTCAAAAATATGTATTTTACTAGTCACACTAAACAAGTAAGAAGTCTTGGCTATCACTTTGTTTTTACAGTATTATATCAATATCAGTAAATTATTGACTCAGTAAACAGAGTCGTCAACTTTTGTCCGTCGACACAATAATTATATCTTTATAACTCCCAATCATTATCATGTGAATTAGTAGATGATAACACCAAATCACATTATTTAAAGGAAACTCCATCGACCCACCATCATGCACATGTCAATCAGTCTCCAACCAACAGGTCAACTAGTTTTTACTTATCTTTTACACACACATAGTAGTATCACAGTACTATAACAATAATTTCAATCACATATTCACACTCATTTCTGATATATTGCAACATATAATATAAAATTGAGCTTAATTAAGAAGATATCAAAATGTTATAACGATAGACGATAAAGAATCTTATTAGGAAAAAAATATATATTTTTAAAAAATTACCAAATTACCAGGGATTATATAAAATAACATTTTAATACTTTTATTGTACTAAACTATTATTTTTAGAGGTCAAAATAAATTTTTGGGTAGATAAAAATCACTGTATTTTTAAATTAAAATGGTAAAAAAATTAAAATAAATAT